TTGATGGGAAAATGGTGGTGTTGCCTTATACTAAGAACTTGGCGAATACACGAGTCTTAGTGAGCCGTGAGCGATCCCTTTGAAGTAATTTGCAGCAGCCTTCCCACCACTGCAAAATGGAATTCGACTAAACATATATCTTGGATTGGACCAGGAAGTTATGGGTGATGCAGGGAAAGTATTGAATAATCCATCGTTCAGACAATGGTGAAGCCAAACACGTGATGGGAATTCTGGACAACCACCGACTAACTGCCGATTTGATAATGAGGTCCTCTCCAGGCCAATGTTTGCAACCACTCACAGTTAAATCCTAATCAGCTCTGGCATGAATTGGAAAGTCTTTAGTGTTGACCCAGATGCTATATCGTATTCTTGTTAGAAGTGAGTGGTTAGAAGGGGCGAATTGATGCGCATTATGCAAATAAGTTACATTTCCAGTTACCTTTACCGGCCAACAAACCCAAATCTGGTAGTGTGCTAGGTCGCAGTTGGAGACTACAGCGACAAAACTCGTGAACATTGTGAAAGCAATTACCATGCAGATAATGACGTAGGGCTTGAGTCATCGAAACATTGGACAATGCTTTCTTTTCAGCTAAGGGAATGAATGCGACACTAAAGCCAAGTTGTTCTTATTTTGTCACCGAGATGGTTACACAATCCACGCTTGACTGCCATAACCGCAATTTGCCACAGGGCCTAAGTTGCACACATAAGGCTTAACTAATATAGATGAGGACTGCCAAATATGGTCACTAGTTAATGAAGGACGGCCATCAGATCTGCGTTCATGCATCGAGCGACCGACTGAGCGACCAACTCTCATCGAATGGCCGCTTCGATTGTCGTTTTCGGCCACTTGGATGCTTGCAAGAACGGGACACCTACTTCTTGACCAGTCGTTTTAAACTCAGGATTTATGTTTTGGTGTTGTGGGTTTCGTTACCGCATAGGATGTAAATGCTCAAACTCGGGCCTGAACTGTGGCACAAGAGCAAGGACACTCCTCACTGGCCAATTTGGATTTGGCTGAGTTGCTTAGCGAGATCAATTATAAACCTAGCGACGCCAATATAAAGTACAGCCTGACATTCAACAAAGGTCATGCTGATTAAATTTTCATGTGCTGTGGTTGCATTGCCACATGAAATCAAAGCAGTGTGATAGTTGGCTTTTTTGAATTGTAGGATGGACATTGATCCATGCCAGCCGTGTTCCAGGAGTTTTGCATATTAGTGATGCATGACATGCCATACTGCTTAGAGTTATTTCGACCTAAATGAAGATGGAGGACGTTCACTTTTACCTTGACCAAAAACACAACACAGTTATTTGCAAATGATGAGATCAATCCGAAAGATGTACTTAAATGCAAACTTAGCGAAAATTGGGATGAGGGCAGTGTGCATTAAAATGCGGCCAAAATGAGTACAGTATTTGGACTAAGTTTAATAGGCTCTAATAAAAAATAAAAATAAAAAGTTTTCTTTGAGCAATTTAACAATTTTAGGTTTTTCTTCGGTCACCATCAGGCCAATAGATTATAAATTGCTCTAAAGTTAAAACACTGACAATGAAAACATCTCGCAAAAAGTTATATTATTTAATTGCTGCACATTAAATAGCCCGCGGACGCTTTTTGGCGGCTCATGTGAAGATTTGGGCCGTAATGCTTCCATGGTTAGCGGGTTTTGCTTGCAGTTTGTTTTGATGTCCTTAATGATTCGAGTAGTATTTAAGGGTTTCAAAATGTCTATTTTTTTTATTCGGGTGTATGCACTGGCACGTAAGCTTCCGTAGCGATTGTTGTGGTTTGCTCGGCTAGTAGGTTCTGTAATGCACAGGTTTAAATAATTGCTAATGAAGAGTGCATTTGCTTAGCCATTATGTTGTTTTCTTTCCACAGGAATACGCCTGTTGAAACGATAGATTCACCACTTCAGGGTATTTAAACTGTTCCAGTTGAATTGGAGGTAACGGTTGGGGTTCTTTAACATTCCTGAAGCCACAAAACTGGAAGGAGAAAACTTGAAGCCTAATCTTTTATGTTACAAGTATGCACATATATATGGAGAAACCTAACGGACAATCCAGCAATGCCGTAATGCGATTTCCTGAGTCTCGTTTCGGCCTCATATGCATTAATGAACTCGAAAATGCGAGTCGTCAGTTAGTGGCGTCGTTAAATGTGAGGACTTGCTTAGTAGATAGCGCTTCGTAAGACTTCCTTTAATTTGGTTCAGTCAGCTGGAAGATGCTGTCGTTAATGAAAGGGGAATGAAGAGTTACATGGCAATCTCGATGACTGAATGAAGGGTTCCGAGTGCTGCGATTGGGAAAAATGGCTTTAGTGCAATTCACTTATCTTTCCAGAGATTGGAGAAATCAAAGTGGTTTTTTTTTAACCCAGGGGTTCCAAAGACGCCAATTAATTGAGCGAGGAGCTGATAGTAGTTGTGAAATAGTCGGGGGTATGTTTTCCAGGCTCCTAAATTCTAAAAAGCGTGAGTTCATGCTCTATTTCAATTTTGCGACCTCGTTTTGTCTTTATGCAAGAATTTGTGTCCTCTCTAGGGAAATATCATCTTCAACATCAGCTGGTCAATAGTGAAACAAAAATGGTTGTGGTGGCGGTGGAGTTGAAAGCATTCGCGCGTGCAGACAGTTTTGTTCGCTTTTAGGAAAGGGCTGATCTCCTTGTTTTTCAGTTGCAGAGGATAAGGAGAACATCTTCATACAGTACGGTGGTTGGAGTGTCAAAATTGTCTGCACCTTAATCGCAAACTTCCTTGTCCTATTTAACAAAAAGCGATTCATTTGGCGCTCCGTTGAGAGGTTCAGAGATGGTGAGCCACATTCTCCTGGCACTGGGTATGTAGGAGGAGGCGAATACCGAAAAGGTTGCGTCCTAGGCGGCACTCCAGGAACCGAAAAATCAGTTGCTTCCATCGTCCATTTTCTCCACCATGGGTATAGCTGGTGTCTTGGTGACTGACGTCTGGTAGGAGTTACAGTGAGTGCTTATCCCTCGCCCCCATCACCACATACCTTATGCTCCGACTTTTACAAATTTTGTGCATTTATTTTTCTTCCTTTTCCTCTCTCTTTTTTGGATTCTAGCAGAGTTGTCATTAGCAACTAGTATTTCCTATTTTTTCATAGTCCTGTCCCTTTGTTAGAAGTGAAGGTGAATGGACAACTATTGAGGACATCGATCTAAAAATTGATTGTCCTTGCGGATTAGCCTAAGTTCTTTCTCTGGAATGGAAATGGATACATGGCCTATTAATGACATAGTAGAAAGTACTTCTTTGATGTGTGCTGGAAGTACGGATCCTTGGCGTGGACACACAGGGTAGGGATAAAAATTTGTCCTCATGAGCTTACTGAATTAAGTTATGGTGGTGGGTAAACTGGTGCGTCTGATCTGAAGTGCTCTTGACGTGCATTTGGCTGCATCCTTCACCACGAGGATTGCAGTGGCAAACCCTGCCTTTGACCCACCAACTCTGAGATAGCTAAGCGCGAATGTTTTTGCCAGGCTGTGCCTTGAGTTCAACAAAGTGTCTGTATAATGTGTTTCGCATACAAATATCGACACCTTCATGATGCTTAGTTTTCAAATGTTATTTTTTAATTGGTTATTGGTTGATACCATGGACTGGGGTTTTTCGGTAATCTTCGACACCTCATTGTTAATTATTTGCATCTACTCAGCTGATTCTTTCATTTAATCTTTGCACAATCCACCAACATTTGATCTCCACTTCACTGTAACCCTCACTTTCCTTACAGGGAAGGAGTGTGATGCGGCAAAGGCAATGTCTGATGTACCATTGCTGAATCGATACGACACCACCACCTTCAGCCTCTTAGTGGAGTATTGTCACCACGACCGTCAGCCCGAGATCACGGACTATCTCCATGACACCGCCTCCTTCTCCTCCCGCAGTATTGCACTCAGCGTTGGAGCAGGCGACGTCTCCTGTATGGAGGAGTACAACTGCCGCGTCTTTGATTGCTTCTCTCACTGTGCGTCTATACTACCAAACTCCTTGCTCCAACAATTTCTTCACCCGCTAGTTCACAACCTATATGTATTTTTTCAGTAGCTGGCGCGGATTTAAGATGGCGTTGATGAGTGGTCGGTTAAGCCTGCTACCGGAGTTCTGGTGGCTCTTACTGCACCTAAGAATGAATGCGTTATTGTTGTTGGTGGTTTTGCTACCACGGCTGTTCCTTCAGTGACGTGGTGACGTAGTTCGTCGGTGTGGTATGAGGAGTCCAAATGCTGGAGACGGGAGAGCCGA